TTTTCACCATGTTGGCCAGGCTGGCCTTGAATTCCTGACCTCAAGTGATCCACCTGCCTCAGCTTCCCAAAGTGCTGGGATTACATGCATGAGCCACCATGCCCAGCCTAATCTTAAATTGTTTACCAACCAAATATGCAGAAGTCTACATATAACAATTTAAATGGTTTGGCTTCTTTTGTTAATTTTGGAAAATCTAGTATCAGTAGGCCTGCATGTCTATATGGCAACGATTATTTGGAACTGACCTGCCACCTATCAAGAGAGCACTTATTCTTTAGTTTGCCACAGTTTGTGTTACTCCTGTCTAGGCATTTGAATTTCTATGCCCTGCACTAAAAAAGTGGAAGGTAGACTGGACAAGATGTAATCCCAGCACCTTGGGAGGCTGAGGCAGGTAGATCACTTGAGTTCAGGAGTTCGAGGCCAGCCTGCCCAACATGGTGAAACCCCCATCTCTACTAAAAATACAAAAGTTAGCCAGGCCTGGTAGCACACAACTGTAATCTCAGCTATTTGGGAGTCTGAGGCAGGAGAATCACTTTAACCTGGGAGGCGGAAGTTGCAGGGAGCCAAGATGGCACCACTGCACTCCAGCCTGGGCAACTCCATCTCGAAAAAGAAAAAAATCAAAGGTAAATTAAATCAATTTCAGCCCTCAAGTACATTAAATTGTTCACTTACATCTTTATTGCCACCTATTAATAGCTTTATGTCCCTAGCTACACCATCTCAACCATCTGGACCTCAGTGTCCTATAAAGTAGGGATAATAACTTGTTTCAGATCTAACAAGATAATGCCTACGAATGTCCTATGTAATTGGTTAACCAATTAAAATAAGTATTAATAATGAAGGCTGAGTATATTCTGTGAACTAGTTTTAGCCAGCCAGCCATCATTTATTTGCAAGTAACAGAATTCCACTTAAACCAGAGACAAAAGGAGGCATTTATTTATTCAAATACAGATGTGTTTCAAATAATTCAAGGTCAGGAAGTACAGCTCAGGATCATGAGAAAGTGGAAGCAGTTGATTTGATTGGCCCATTCTGGTTTCAGTGGCTACCTTCAACCCAATCAGCTAAAGCTACAAAGTCAAAGTGTAGTACGTACATGTGACCTAGGATCTACCCTTGTGGTTGAGAAAGCGGTGACAGTCTCCATAGAAGAGGGTCTATAGACTAGGTAGACAGTCCCCTAACTATCTACGATAGAACTTTCTGGAGGTTGACAACATGCCCTTTAAGCGATTCAGTGGTTTTCATTTATACTTATGGCCCTCTTCTCATGACCCTCCCCAAGTATGCCAACCAGTGTGACCATTGGCAGCCCCAATGTAGGATCTGGGTGAAATGTTTTCCAGGAAAACACCAGTGGGACTTAGTTACCTGCAAGGGCCTCTTGCCCCGGTATGAACATGCTAGCTTCATTCCTTCCTGCACACCTGACAGTATCTGGGTATTTGGAGGTGCCAACCAATCAGGAAATCGAAATTGTCTACAAGTCCTGAATCCTGGTAAGTAGCCAAAAGTTATTTTATTTACATACATGCAAATAAACAATAATGCATATATATATATAAATCCAATTATAATTCCAGTACATTTGGATTATACTGATTGCCATTTAACTTTGCTGACATTATAAAAAATAGGAATTTTAACTTGTAGCATAATCTGAAAACAACAGAATAAAAAATTTGGGGGGGCCGGGTGTGGTGGCTCATGCCTGTAATCCAAGCACTTTGGAGGCTAAGGCAGGCGGATCACCTGAGGTCGGGAGTCCAAGACCAGCCTGACCAACATGGTGAAACCCAGTCTTTTTTTTTTTTTTTTTGGGACGGAGTTTCGCTCTTGTTACCCAGGCTGGAGTGCAATGGCGTGATCTCGGCTCACCGCAACCTCCGCCTCCCGGGTTCAGGCAATTCTCCTGCCTCAGCTTCCTGAGTAGCTGGGATTACAGGCACGCGCCACCATGCCCAGCTAATTTTTTGTATTTTTAGTAGAGACGGGGTTTCACCATGTTGACCAGGATGGTCTCAATTTCTTGACCTCATGATCCACCCGCCTCGGCCTCCCAAAGTGCTGGGATTACAGGCTTGAGCCACTGCGCCAGGCCTGAAACCCAGTCTTAAAAAAAAAAAAAAATTTTTTTTGGTAACACAACTTTCAACTTGTTAAATGTCAAAGCTGGCAGGGACTTCAGAGAACAGCTATGCCAAGTAGGCTACTCAGGTTTATCAAGGGGAAAGTGACTTTCCTAAAGTCACAAGTGGCTGGGCGTGGTGGCTGATACCTGTAATCCCAGCATTTTGGGAGGCTGAGGCAGTGGGATCACTTGAGGTCAGGAGTTCCAGATCTGCCTGGCCAATATGGTGAAACTCCACCTCTACTAAAAATACAAAAATTAGCTGGGTGTGGTGGCAGGTGCCTGTAATCCCAGCTACTCGGGAGGCTGAGGCAGGAGAACCACTTGAATCCAGGAGGCGGAGGTTGCAGTGAGCCAAGATCGTACCACTGCACTCCAGTCTGGCTGACAAAGTGAGACTTAAAAAAAAAAAGAAAGAAAGTCACAGGGGAGTCAGTGACTGAGCCAGGTTTAGAACCCAAGTCACATAAATCAGTGGTTCTCCAATAAGGGTGATTGTGCCCCCTGAGGGACATTTGGCCATATCTGGAAACATTTTGGGTTATCACAGCTGGGGTAGTGTAGGCTACTGGCTTCTGGGAGTAGAGGCCAGATGTGCTGCATATCTATCCTGTTATGCCCAGGACAGCCACTGCAGGAAAGAACTACCCGGTCTAAAATGTCAGTAGTGCCAAAGTTAAGAAACACTGACCTGGATCCTCCTAGTATGTTTCCTTTAGCTAAAAGTACAAAGTTCCTGACTTGTCTCACCGGCAAGATTTTTGTTTGTTAGTTTCGTTTTTGTTTCTCATATCTTCATGTTTCCATCACTGGCAGTTTTATCATAGGGGAAGCAGTTTAGGAACATCACGACGGAGAAGAGGTTACTAAACCACCTGAGGGAGGTGCACTTGTCTTTTTGCTTTTTGTTTGTTTGTTTCTATTTTTCTCTTTACAAATGTTATTTATGTTCATTGTAAAATGAAAAGCACAAGTGAGTGGACAAAAGTCATCCACAGTCCTATTATACTAAGGTTATTGACAACTTTCTGTCTTCTTCCTGCCTTTTCTCTGTTTTTACAAGCCTAAGATCATAATATATTTACACATTAGTAACACTTTTTCCTTTTAATTTCATAATCCCAGCAGAAATAGTTTTTTAGGGGGCTTTAGAAAAAATAATTGATTTGTTATTAATAACTATGCTTTGTTAATATCATTTGTTTGTTTTGTTTTGGGTTTTTTTTGTTGTTGCTAACTTTTTTTTTTTTGAGGCAGGGTCTCAGTCTGTTGCCCAGGCTGGAATGCAGCGGTGTCATCACAGCTCACTGCAGCTTGACCACCCAGGCTCAGGTGATCCTCCTACCTCAGTCTCCCAAGAGCTGGGACTACAGGCGGTTGCCACCATGCCTAGCTAATTTTTTTTTATTTTTTGTAATAAAAAAAAATAGGGTCGGTGGCTCACGCCTGTAATCCCAGCACTTTGGGAGGCCGAGGCGGGTGGATCACGAGGTCAAGAGATCGAGACCATCCTGGTCAACATGGTGAAACCCCGCCTCTACTAACAATACAAAAAATCAGCTGGGCATGGTGGCGCATGCCTGTAATCCCAGCTGCTCAGGAGGCTGAGGCAGGAGAATTGCCTGAACCCAGGAGGCGGAGGTTGCAGTGAGCCGAGATCGCGCCATTGCACTCCAGCCTGGGTAACAAAAGCGAAACTCCGTCTCAAAAAAAAATAAAAATAAAAATAAAAATAAAAATAAAAAAATAAAAAAAATAGGGTTTTTCCATGTTGCCCAAGCTAATCTCAAACTCCTGGGCTCAAGCAATTTGCCCCCCTTGGCTTCCCAAAGTGTTGGAATGACAGACATGAGCCACTGTGCCTGGCTAACATTATTTTTAATGGCTATGTAATACTCCATTAAATATAATACTCCATAATACCATAATTCCTCCATTTATGAACATTTAGTTTTTTTCAGGTTTTTACCACTATAATTAACAAAGCAGTGAACATCTTCATTCAGAAGTGATTGGCTGTATTTCAAATTATTTTCTTAGGGTTCCTGCCAAGAAATAAAAAGACTAGGTAAAATACTGTTAACCTTTTCAAGGTTTTGATACATACTACCAAATTGCTCTTCAGAAAGATTTTTCCAGTTTATTCTCTCTCCACCTGTGTTTAACAGTGCTCCTCTCATTACTGACCAGCACTGAATTTATCAGTTTTTTTTATTTATTTATTTTTGAGACGGAGTTTCGCTCTTGTTACCCAGGCTGGAGTGCAATGGCGTGATCTCGGCTCACCGCAACCTCTGCCTCCCAGGTTCAGGCAATTCTCCTGCCTCAGCTTCCCGAGTAGCTGGGATTACAGGCACGCGCCACCATGCCCAGTTAATTTTTTGTATTCTTAGTAGAGACGGGGTTTCACCATGTTGACCAGGATGGTCTCGATCTCTTGACCTCGTGATCCACCCGCCTCGGCCTCCCAAAGTTCTGGGATTACAGGCTTGAGCCACCGCACCCGGCCCTGAATTTATCAGTTTTAAACACTGCTAATTTGATAGGCAAAAAAACTTGTACGTAGTTATTTAAATATGCACTTTGGGCCAGCATGGTGGCTCACATCTATAATCCCAGCACTTTGGGAGGCTGAGGCGGGTGGATCACTTGAGGTCGGGAGTTCGAGAGCAGCCTGGCCAACATGGTGACACCCTGTCACTACTAAAAATACAAAAATTAGCCAGGCATGGTGGCACATGTCTGTAGTCTCAGCTACTAGGGAGGGCAAGGCAGGAAGATCATTTCAATCCAGGAGGCAGAGGTTGCAGTGAACCGAGATCGTGCCACGGCCTGAGCAACTGGTGAGATTCCCTCTCAAAAAAAGTATTTTTTGACCTGGACATTTTTTATATGTCAGCCAACTCCGGCTCAGTTCCCTCTATCAACAATATATTTGGGGTGTTGCCCACCAAATACATTTGTTGAGTATTGCCCAATAAAAAAATTAAAAATAATAAAAATAGGCCGGGCACTGTGGCTCACGCCTGTAATCCTAGCACTTTGGGAGGCCGAGGTGGTTGGATCACCTGAGGTCAGGAGTTCAAGACCAGCCTGGCCATCACGGTGAAACCCCATCTTTAAAAATAATAATAATAATAAACAACAAATTTGTACAATAGTTGGTCAGAGTTCAGGAGCTAGGACCAAGTTTTCTTATGTGTCAAGTAGTTAAATTCCTTCAGCACATTTGGACAGTATGTTACTTTTTTTTTTTTTTTGAGATGATGGAGTTTTGCTCTTGTTGCCCAGGCTGGAGTGTAATGGCGCCATCTTGGCTCACCGCAACCTCCACCTCCTGGGTTCGGGGGATTCTCTTGCCTCAGCCTCCTGCATAGCTGGGATTACAGGCATGTGCCACCACACCCAGTTTATTTTGTATTTTTAGCAGTGATGGGGTTTCTCCATGTTGGTCGGGCTGGTCTCCAACTCCCATCCTCAGGTGATTCACCCACCTCGGACTCCCAAAGTGCTGGGATTACAGGCATGAGCCACCTTGCCCAGCTTCTTTTCATTTGATTTATTTGTTTGAGTATTTGTTTCCTGTCTTCCCTCCTCCTCCCTGCCCTCCCTCTATGGAACATAAGTGCTTTGAAGGGAAGGGTTTGTTTATTGTTGAATACTCAGGGTACAGAACACTGTCAGAAATAGACACTTGGCAGACTGTTTGGCTAATTGTGAAGCCAATTTGCTTGAAGAGCAGCAGTATAATATGATGGTTAAGGGCACGGATGAGGTTCTGTGCTTTGCTATGCACTAACCATGACTTTGGGCAAGTGATTTAACCTCTCTCTGCCTCTGTTTTCTGTCACATTGGATAATAATAGTTTCTATCTTGTTAATTTGTCAAGGATTTAAATTAACTCAGTATCTGGCACATAATTCATGCTCAATCACTGTTGTGGTGGTTGGTGTAGTTAAGGTTTGGCAAAGGGAAATCAATTCTGGAACCCTGGCCTTTTGATTTTTAACAACGAAATCCACTGAAATGAAATACAGTGAGAATTTGGAAAGCTTCTGTCAAAGAGGGTGATTTTCTTTCTTTCTTTCCTTCTTTCTTTTCTTTCTTTCTTTCTTTCTTTCTTTCTCTTTCTTTCTTTCTTTCTCTTTCTTTCTTTCTTTCTCTTTCTTTCGTTCTTTCCTCTTTCTCTCTCTCTCTCTCTTTCTTTCTTTCCTTCCTTTCTTTCTTTCGACAGTCTCTCTCTATTGCCCAGGCTGGAGTGCAGTGGCACAATCTCAGCTCACTGCAACCTCCGCCTCCCAGGTTCAAGTGATTCTCCAGCCTCAGCCTCCGGAGTAGCTGGGATTATAGGCGTGTGCCGCCATGCCCAGTTAATTTTTGTATTAAAGAGGGTGATTTTCTATCATATCCTTTTTCTCTCCTAGAAAATATAATTTGACATCATGCCCAAGAAATGTAAAATATATGCTTAGTTGCACTTGTTACCAAAGCAAGTCCCTCAAATGCTCAGGACTCCTTTGTGATTCTTTGTGCTGGTATTTGACTTGGCAGCAATACGGCTCCATGGTCTTCTGGCCCTGGAGGTCACATGTATGCCTTTCTAGCTCCCTCTAAGATCCAAAAGGTCTCAAGATCTGTAGCTATAGAGACAGTTACATTTTGCTTTGGATATAGGCTGAGACTTATTCAGTCTCCAGGTCCACATTTGAGTCCCACACATATTACAGATGCTTCCTGTGGCATTTTATGTACTGGATGCAGTTCTTTTACAAAAGACAGAATTTCTTGGTGTGTTATGGTAGAGCAAGTAAGGGACTCTGATAGAACTGAGTTTAAACTCCTGCTCTGCTACTCACACATGCTATAACCTGCAAGAAAGGATTTAAATGTGCGGAGCTTCAGCTTCCTTATCTGAAAGTAGATACCCAGGCTTGAGTGAAGACACTAGGGATGGTGGTGCCCAGGGCAATGGTGCTGTCCATTGAGGGTCCTCAATCAGTGCACCTGCTTCTATAAAAATCCAGGCTTTGTTCTGAAAAGAAATAAGCTTCTATACATCTATCTAGGTGGTGAAATTTTATTCCAAGTCAGTGGAGTGGAAATTACATAGATCTTGGTGTTACTGAAACAGTTTAAATTCCAACTCAGCCATTTCTTAAGCATGTCTCTCTCTCTCTCTCTCGCTCTCTCGCTCTCTCGCTCTCTCTCTCGTCTTACTCTGTCACCCAGGCTGCAGTTGCAGTGGTGTGATCATGGCTCACTGCGGCCTCAACCACTGCAGCCTCAGGTGATCCTCCCACCTCAGCCTCTCAGGTAGCTGAGAATTTAGGCATGTACCGCCATCCCTGGCTAATTTTTTTGTAGAGGCAGGGTTTTTCCATGTTGCCCAGGCTGGTCTCAAACTCCTAGGCTCAAGTAGTCCACTCACTCCAGCCTCCAAAAGTGTTGGAATTATAGGCATGAGCCACCAAGACTAGCTGGCTATGTCACTTTAAAAAAGTGACTTAATCCATCCCTGCTTCAGTTCTCTTATCTGTAAAATTAGAAAATTAATATTTATTTAGCATTTACTGTTTATGAGGGACTATTATTACTGCTACTGAAATGTAATAGTATCGTCTA